AGTAGTAGTAGCAGTAGTAGTAGTAGTAGTAGTAATAGCAGTAGTACTAGTACTAGTACTATAGCAGTAGTAGTAGTAGTAGCAGCAGTAGTAGTAGCAGCAGCAGTAGGAGTAGTAGTAGTGGTGGTGGTGGTGGTGGTAGTAGTGGCAGTAGTAGTAGTAGTCGTCGTCGTCGTGGTGGTGGTGGTGGTGGTAGTAGTAGTTGTTGTTGTTGTAGTTGTAGTTGTAGTTGTAGGTGTAGGTGTAGGTGTTGTAGTAGTAGTAGTAGTAGTCGTGGTAGTAGTCGTAGTAGTAATAGTAGTAGTAGTAGTAGCAGCAGCAGTAGTAGTAGTAGTGGTACGTACGTACGTAGTAGTACGTAGTAGTAGTGGTGGTAGTAGCAGTCGGAGTCGTCGTCGGCGTCGTGGTAGTAGTAGTCGTCGTCGTAGTAGTAGTACTAGTAGCAGCTGTTGTCGCCCTTGTCGTTCTCGAAACAGGAATGGTAGAGGTATAGCAATGCCAACAGTCACACTTAATCACACTTAAGACAATTTTGGTTCTGGCCAAGCAATTCCGATCCTCGTTCGCCGCTGCCGGCTGAACTCATTTAGAGCGATTCAAGGTTGTTATCATGAGCGCAAGAAGACAAGACTAGGCCGTGACAGTTGATGTGATCTCATATTGGACGATTCCGATGCTGAGTGTGGCTCTTGCTTCTCTGGGCTCCTGGCCTCGGCCAGCCGGCCGTCTTCGGCAGCGCGCAAGAGGGAGGCAGCGGCCTGCAAAAGGGATGGAGGGCTTCTGCACACACAGGGCTGGAACGAGTAACTACGCTCAAAGTCCGGGTGACATTGACATGATCAACCATTCCGCTTGTGCGTACAGTTTGCTTCCTATTCGACAACCATCTTGGCATTGGCATTGTTGGCTCTTACGTCCATCTCGCTACGATTGTCGTAGTCGCTGTTCTTGTCAACGTTGCTACACTGGCTACACTGGGATTTGCTGCCAGCCACTCACGTCATGATTCGTTGTTCGCTTTTGCTGTTGTGTTAAGGTCTGCCGGGGGTCGCGGCGATGTGTTCCAGCAACGTTCTCTTGTCACTCTGGTGGTGCTGTTCTGAAGTCAGCACAGCACTCATGAGGGGCACATCACAACATTCTCAGAATTGCTGTTGTCGGAAGCACCATGCCATGCAAAGCTGGCTGGCCTTGATGCGGATTTGATCAAGGTCCGCCTTGCTGCCCTGGCGAGCAAATCACTGTTCCCGACCCAGGAAAGCCCTCAGACTCATCGAGAGAGAGTGACATTCATGCTGTTAGTTGGGGAACTGGCCGGTTTAGCAGGAACGGGGTCCGCACGTGCACCGGTCGGTTTCCCCAGACAGCAACCCTCGCACCTGTCTTACATCTGCTTTCGAATCAGAGGGCGAGCGCAGTGCAGGTTCAGTTTCACCGGCTGCTCAGCAGGATCCGGCAAAAAACGGCAGGAAGCAGCATCAAAGATGCAAAAGCCACGCGACACTGAGCAACAGGACCACTGCGCTCGCCATGGTACGTGTGCTTGACATGGACTGGTCCGTGCTCGTTGAGTTAACCAATGGCGGCGAATCGGTATTTGTGCCATCCCAGAGCGGCTGGACCAAAGTGAAGGCGGCGTTGTCAACAGCAAACTCCGAGGACTCGAGAATCGGAAACGCCCCGACCATGTAGCCTTCAGGGGCCGCCATGCCGGGTTTCGTGACAACGATCTACCGGTAGCAACCCTCTTATTACAATCCGCTTATGACATAAATCAGTCTGGAAAGCCTTCAGGAGGGCTTGTCCCAGCGTTGCAGGCGGTAGCCAACGCGACAGGCTTTCCGGCATCATCCACCACCAAGTTCGGCCGCTCACATGACTCAAACTTTGCAAATGTGCCATCGGTGAAAGAAACGTTCTGGACATTGGCATCCCCCGTGTGCGTCCACTTGCCGAAGAAGTCAGTACTCCAAGCATGAGACGTCAAGTCTCTCTCCGAGACCATATAATGGAAAATTGCATGAAACACTCCCTGCGCATCCTTCCATCCAAAAGGATCCTCAATCCCTTTCGTTAAAAAGAGCTCATTGGCACCCCACTCTGCTGGTCCAGTGCTTTCATCGGCAAAGATATTCCTGGTCTAGAAAGTGTACTTCGATTTGCAGTCCTGTGCACTGCTGCACTTCCAGTGCGTTGCACTGGCTGTGTGGATCACTGAGCAGAAAGTACCACCTCCCCCCGCGGGGCAATCTTGCCAGGACCGCCACATTGCCAGCAGGCTCCCGTTCGTTTGAATCTCAACCGGTGCGAAGTTGGTATCGATAGTGTCGCCTGCAAAGGTTGCATCTTGAAATCCTGTGGCGGAAGTCTCATCACGAGGATCTATGATCATGACGGGCTTGGACCAGGACGCATCGTCCCCTGGAGTAGTCGTCCAGCTCATCCATGTCGGATCCGAAGAGGCCGTGTTCACACACGATCCGAAAAGGGGAGCTGCATCTCCGTCAACTGCTGTTGCACCAGTGCTGCAATCACAAAGAAATTCCGTCTCAGTGGTGTAGCCATGATTCGACGAGAACCCGCCGGTTCCCTCAGATCCCACATCTGTGACGCCATCATAGATGCCGGTGAAGTACATCACTGTCTCCCCAGTGGGTGCCTTAATAACTTTGGGCTCATGGCACATGGGACCAAAGACCACGCCTGTCTTCGTATATGGGCCCTCCGGACTCGTAGCTTCCGTATGAACGCACCTCGAGTTGGTGCCCCAGGTGTTCATACCACACTTCTTGGCATTCTCTGAGACCCACATGTGGTATTTCCCGCCGTCTTTGAGCACTGCACCGCCCCAACTGGTGAAGCCATCTGGGATAGGCATGTAGCCCCACTTGGTCTTATCCACCGGAGCCACATCAATCACCGAACACGCAGTGCCAGTCCAACCGGCGGTGCACACGCAGGCGCCCGAGACGCAGGCGCCGTTGTGAGAGCAGTCATCTGTTGTGGAGCATGCACCACCAAGGGTCACGAAAGCTGCGCATAGCAGTGTCAGAATTGGAAAGGGGCAAGACATGTCCATGAAGGCGATACGGCTGCATCAGCACCGGGAAGCACGTTGGCTTCTCAAGCAAATCCGCACAGGAAACTTCGACACATACCTCCAACAAACCCAGCCACTCCAGGATTCCAACACATTCCATCAAACATCGCTGCGACGACATCGTTGTAGCCCTTGGCCCTCAACCGTGGATTCTCCCTCGCCTCCGTCGTTGCCCTTTTTGCAACAGGCTTTCCACTTCGCCCGGAGTTGGAGCAAGCAGCCCTAGCAGCTTCACTGCGGAGCCCGTCGTTGCCCTTAAAAATAAAAGACGCTGTTCAAAGAGCCGAGAAGCCACGAAGCCTTGGAAACCAAAAGCCAATGAGCCAGGACTTCCCAGGCCCGGAGACCTAACGACAACACATCCTCAGCAGACATCCGAAACACATCCACCGTATCCCTCCACTCCTGAAGCCCAATGTGCCCAGCAAGTTGCAAAAGTCGGCACCTGTTGGGATGGCATCGTCACGGCACCCAGGGCCGACTCCAATCTCCCATCCTGGAGCCGTAAACCCTCAACCCTAAATGGGTTTGGACTCTCGCGACTCTTCAATGGATTTCGGGATTTTTGCCTCCTACACCGGAAACGGGCTTAAGGTTTACGTCTCCGCCTGCACCCCAAGCTGAAAAGCCAACACGGGAAGGGCTGGAGTCGGAATGCATCAAGGCGTGACGTCTCGGAAAGCAACAGCTTTCAGAGGATCGGACATGAAGCAAAGCTGTATCAAAAAATGATGCATTCATTTTTGTGTATATTTATTGTATTTGCAAACATTTCCCTATATTCAATTTCAAGGCGTACATATGTGTATGCATATATACATGTATATATAACTCCTATATTTATATGCCCCCCTCCAAAGATCTATGCTTTCATCGTATTTACACGTTTCGGTATCTGAATCCTAGAACATTAGTGCTAAGTATAGCTTATGTTCCCGGCTACTAGCACAAGGACGTCTACCTCAACCCAATACTCGCGCCAAGTGTTGCTAAGTATTGCCTTGCTACCAACACAACCGCCTAACGTCCCTTTACTGACACAAACCCTGAATACGAGTGACTAGTACTGAGTACTGCCTAAACTCCCTCTATTAATAAATAACCTAAAAACCCCGAACACTCATACTGGTCATTGCCTATGCTTCCTCTACTAATATCTGCTGAGTATTGTCTGCGATCCTTTTTTGCTCGTACACAACCACAAGTCCATCAGTTCTAGGACACGCTTCCGACTCACCTTCGGAACTCCTCTGTGAAAGCACTTCGGACATCTGCATGTTCGATGCAGCACGGACACAAGGCACACGAGAGTCATCACTGCTCTCGGTTTTTGGCAGCGTACCCCAGTTGATGGTCATTGTTGTCCCCCCCGGGAAAGCAATGACCTGGATGAACTAAGCAACCGCAACATTTGCGATGCCTTCCACGGGCTCCGACAGTAACTTGAGGATATCGTCAATCAGCCCCCAGGAGCACTCACGCGAGCAGATCGATTGCGAGGTGTGGTCGTCAAAACCAACGTGCTGTTTAACATAGGCGTTGGAGTGCGGATTTGAATAGGCTCGGCAATCAACCTCGTAGGTCATCTCCTGCGTTATTCAGCGCCTCCCCCAACATGTCTCAAATGTGCGTCCTGCGAGAATGTAGCATGGCGGCGGCATAGCAGGGTCTGGCACCGCTGCCAGGAAAGAAAGATGCGGCCATGTCGAAGACAGTCCCCGTGCTCTCGGCGGTGGTCGCAGTGGAGAAGGCATCTGTGTTTCCGGTACAGGTACTGACCGATGAGTTTCGAACTCGTGCCAGTGTCTGCTTCTCTTAGTTCCTTCGCTCCAGTCGTAGGCACAAGGGGTAGTCGGTCATGAATACTGAGGGTCGGCCAACCTGTTTATGGTTGGCCTCCATAATCTAACTGTCCCGTGTTCTCTTCCTCAGTGTCCTCGATGGCGAGATGGGTATCCATGATGGCTTGGGGCAATGCCTTGGCGATCCGCTCGGGCTTCGCGAGTTTGCTGATGAAGAGCTGGTTAGCCTCCAAGCTCCAACCGCCGCCCTATGACGATCTTCAGTTCCCTCTGCACGTTGTTTGTTGAGCATTGTGCGGAGATCTCTCTCTCACAGGGACTCAGTCATGTGTCAGCAATAGGCGCAATCGACGGGTGCAACTGTGCCTCCAGCTTCTCGATGGCGCTCACACTGCACATCAACAGCACTGGCTCACACTGCCGTCATACGCACGCGGAGGTCAGCGGCGGAATAGAAGACGGAGATGTGAAGACTGGCTCAATGGAAGGCGGTTGGGTTCCTTTGTCCGGATGCGGCTATGTGACAGGATTGAAATCGGATGGGAGGATTGAACTTCAATGCTTGTCTGGATCCTGGACCCAAGATCCAAGATTCTCCCAGGAGTCTTGGGGCAGAATCTTGGACCTTAGAAGCCTTAGATCTTGGATCCGGGCCCGGATTCAAGTTCAATCCGTCAATCCGGGAGTGGGTATTGAGATGACCCAAGTGTTGGGATTGAACCTGGAGCGAAGGATTGAACTTCAATCCGGGACCGGATCCAAGATCAAGGATTCTGGCCGAAAAATCGTGATCTTCGATCTTGGATCCTAGCCGGATTGAAATTCGATCCTTCAATCCGGATTTCAATCGTGTCACGCAACGGCTTGGGCTACGGGGAAAATGTGTGCAACACCTAGTGTCTCTGTGTGTGTGTGTGTGCGTGCGTGCGCGCGTGTGCATGTGGGCTATGTGGGCTATCTCAGTGGAGAGAAGGACATAAATACCCAAGGACAGAAATACCTAGATCCCTGCCGGGGGGTGGTGCCATTAATGTTTAGATTCATTTTTATGTATCTAGTTATCTCCTACTGAACTTATACTTATATATCTCTCTCTCTCTCTCTCTCTGCCGTTGCATCCAGAGGGTCCAGCAGCGCTAGGCAAGGCGTGAGGGCCGATTAGCCCCGCACAAATGAAACAGCAAGCCGCAACTCAAGCAGCTGCCAATGCCGACACACGCCAGGCACAGACCTCTGCCTTCACTTTGACTTATACTTATATATATATATTTATTTATTTATTTATTTGTTATTTATATTTATATTTATATTTATATTTATATTTATATTTATATTTATATTTATTTTTATATTTATTTTTATATTTATATTTATATGTATATTTATATTTATGTGTGTTTAGTTATTTATAAGCAGATATGTTCATGTATTTATTGTTTGGGTATTTGCTGCATATAATATTGTTTTCCCTGTCGCCCTGCCGAAGCAGGAAATACTACAACTGTATGTATATGTATGAGTATATATACACACACTTACTGACATGTATGTAATGCCGCGACCCACTGTAGCAGAATCATACGCGAACAGACTGGTACCTGCCATATTCTGGTGTCCTCGGCAGCCTTCAGTAGCGAGCGTGCTGCGGCCTGTCGGATGGCCTCGATGTCCTGGAGCGCGGCATTGTCGCAACATGTGCCGTGTTCTGCTGCCTTTGTGCCAAACTTTGCTTCGTGGATATGACACCTGCTCCGTATGTTGCTACTGCTCCTACTACTGTATTTCGGTCTGGCTATGCTAGCAGACTTGCTCATGCTTCGGTTGTTGCCCATCGCTCCCATGTTGTGAAGCTTCAGGGGCGTCTCGACTCTATTTTCGAGACCACTTCTGCTCTTCGTGTTGCGATGTGTCGTGAAACTCGCACTGCCTCATGGCATGCTGTTACTGTACTCCTTGCCACTGCTCGTATTGCTATCGTCGCCGTCGCTACAGCTGCTTACTGCTGATGCTGCGGCTTATGATTTTGCTCCTGATGCCTCGTCGGAATTAGCTCTACTCCTGATGCAACGACTACTACTACTACTACTACTACCACCACAACCACCACCACCACGACCACGACGACGACTACTACTACTCCTACTACTACTACCACTGCTACTAGTACTACCGAACCCTCCGGGTGCAGAATCTCCCAGGGTCTCAGTTGCGACTGGTCAGGCCCTAATATACATAATTACCAATACTATTTTGGGGGTTCCTTATTATTGTTGTAGCATAACATACCCCAAAACCCCTTTCGAATTATTAAAGGCCCCTACACTATATCCCTTGGTGCATAATGCGCCCGATTTCTACTCAAAACGAGGCCCACCTTGCCCTGGTCGCCAGGCTTGGTGGCCTTTCTCGGAGTCTGTTGGCTGAGCTCGGTGGGGCTACACCCAAATATGGAACTTGAGGAACTCCGCCTTTGCACCTTGAGCTACCGCTTCTCAAGAAGGCATTCCATTCGCCAACAGAATCTGCTACCTCAAGCGCCCGGAAGGTTGAGGTTAAATTGCAACCAAGAGATGGTGGCAGTATACGTGGGTCTTTAGAGCTTCCTCTTGCAATGTGGTGGGGCCTAATGGCTGGCTTAATTCAAATGCCAAGGCTTCATCTGTCCTGTTAATCCTTGCTTGCATTGGGTTTTGCGCAATCGCCTGAACATTGACTGCCAGAAACCACGTAGGTAGTCGAACTTGTACACGCATTGGGCGCTAATGTTCCTGCTTGTTCACGCAGAGTATAGAAGTGGGATGAAAGGGTCCAGGGTAAGGTCGTCATCAACTTCTTGCGTCGTCACCAACTTCTTGCATACGGTCAACATCCGATCGCCTGGGTGAAGATCCCCGTCTTTACTGAAGCCTAACACCGTTTAAGCCTTAACCTCTTTAGCCCAAAAACATCCAAAAACCCTGCACCCTCTATGCTTCATTCTGCTTTAGCCCTGCCCCACAGATGCCTTTGACAGCGAATCTTCGTCCACTGGCTCCTCTGCGAACTTGCCATATTTCAGCACTACAGCTAGGACAAGCCTGACATGGGTAAGTTTCAGAAATTGGAGGACCCGAGAAAACAAAAAGCACATAGCAGGATGACAAGTCTTCTTAGGATCTCTAAGCAAAGCACACCTAAGTCCCTAAGTTTGTAAAGCCCCCCGTTTCCGCCTCCCAAGTACAGTACCAAGTAGAAATCGTGCTCTTCGATGTGCCAAGTTTCGATGGAAAGAGGTTTCTGACTTATGCACGGACCAACAGTTAGAACTGCGAGCAGGGCTTAGCATGCACATCACCAGGACGAACTGGAGAATTGCTTCATCCACTGTTCTCTTTCGGAAAACTTGAGTGAAAATTCCTCGCTACAAGCAGAGAACGACCAACACCCATGATAAAAATCACTTAAGGCGGGCCCCCAATAACCCAACAACTGACCTCCGATAGCGAGCTAGATGTAGCAGGATCGAAGGATGTTGACATACGCAGGCTGGCAGCACGAGAGAAGGTGCCTGCGAAAACACCACTGACAGCGGCCCTTGCGGGGTCTCGGCAGCTTGGCAGGCAGCATGCACCAGGTCCTGGTAAGGCCAGGCAAGAGGCAAAAAAATCAGGACGGCCATCTAGGGCCCTTTCCCTTTCCCCATATTATATTATATTATACTATATTATCTTATATTAGATTATATTAGATTATGTTCTATTAAATTGTATTTTATATTTTATCATATCCACGGAGCTGCACCGCCAGTCCGTGGCCAGGTCGCCCAGTTCGGAAGTCCCGGCGGACGTAATGCCTGCCCAAATCTGCACTGGGTCTTCCGCGGCATCGAGGGGCAGTCAAGCACATCCGTCGTATGTCCAGAAGACACCGCAATAAACTCAGACAAGCAACAAACTCATAAATACATACCATGTACCCATCACAACAGGAAGCGGGTGTGCCTGAAGCCCCGCTCCTTGGAGCTGCGCGCAGTGCCTGCCGGCTGCTCGCACGGCATGCATAAGTGATTCCCTTATTTGCAATGGTATCCCCTTATAGTCCCTACCAGGACTATCGTAGACTTTGTGGCGATAAGCTCAAATCTTTGACGTATCCCACCTGACAGTAGGTCTTAGCTAGTGGCGCACATGCACATGGAACCGTGCAACCCAGCCTTATCACAACACGCAGGCAGTAGTATGTAGCATGCAGTAAGTAGCAAGTAGCACTACAAGCATATACTAACACATGGCACTTCTGCTTGTGGCATCTTCTAGCGCTGCGGAGTCTCGACATGTTTGCAGGCTTCTTGGAAGACTCAAAAAACCCGACCAAAAGCCTGCTCCAGGCTGCCGTCCACCGCCGCCTGCCAGTCCGGGAAGCTGTGTAAAAAATTCCAGGGTAACTTGAAGTGTTTGTTCCTCCCACCGAACTTGGGGTTTAGGCTTTAATTTGGGGTTCTTGGGCAGTCTTTGTTGCTCCAGAGCCCAGCCTTTCGGGGTTGCGCTGGAGATTCGGGGATGCGAGGACCACAGTCGAAAACCGGAGCGTCACATCCACGCTTCAGTACATCCGGGCCACCTTCAACAATGTCTCTGCAGCCGCCATTCGAAGAGATTCCAGCTCCTGGCGGCACGGGAAATGACAAGTACATGAAGAGGGCAACAGGTAGAAGTTTTCAGCTAGTCACTATGCCTTCAGAGAGGGGGTTCCCGTCCCAACCTCAGGTTGAAGCTTGGCGTGGCAGGTCATTTGGCTTCTTTCACGCTTCTTCTTCGTCTTCAACCGAGCCCTTGAATCCGACGCACCGGAATGCGAAGTCGAACATCACGACGTGTTGCACAAGCCACGCTGTCAAACTGCAGCGGGCAGGGCGACTCACTGGGACTGCCTGTGAGCTGCGAGGTACAGTTTTCATCATCTGTTGCCCCAGCATGCAATGTCCCAAGACGGCCTGCTGCGGCTCCGACTTCACTTCGGCAAAAGCCTTCTCGAGGCTTCCGTCCTGGAACTGGTATCGGCTGGACAGAGGCTTCTGGACAAGATGTCCAGGCGCTTAAAGCCGAAGACTACACCCCTTTGGAGCTTAAGCCCGCGGCAGGTCATCAAGTAAACGACACACAGACGCTTCAGTGACCCTGAGATCAGTACAAACCCAAGTCCTGGGCAGCTTGGAGCAAAGCCGTGGCTGCTTCCTGCCAGTAAACAACAACATTCAAGCCTGCATGTCTCACTATGCAACTGCACAAGCTGGCTGCTTGTTCCGGTTTTTCCCGTCAAGCGTAAATGGTGGCACGAAGATTTGCGAGAACCATTGGCTGGTGTAGCTATTTTCAGCTCGATCTTCAGATCGACTCACCTTGGTCAGCATCAAAATCGTCCTCGTCGCTCTCGCCCCTCCCCCTGATGACTTCATACTCGGTGTTTTCTCTCCATTCGTTCGGTTTGCAGCAGTTGAAAAGCTATTACACTCGATGATTTTGTCTGACATGCTGCCGTTCCATTAAGCTGCGTATACTTATGCGGATGTTTTGTTTGTGCTATGTATCGAGGTATTCGGGAATTGGGACAAGCCGAAACCGAAGTCTCCACCTTCCTAGTGAACGTGCCTGCTTCAACACGTGGACGTCCACGTCCTGTGCAGAACGACATCGGGTCTTCGCCCCCAGAACACTAACGTGATCAGAAAGTCAAACTCTGAACACTCTGCGAGCTACTGAAGCTAAAGCCGTAGTTGCACCTTAGCACCGAGACTAGACCTTCAAGAACCTCCTTCCAGCATCCTGGCTCAAGCTTTGATGCAGGGCTTCCGGGTTTAGGGCCGAGCTCCAGATTTTTGGCGATGCGCCGAACGGCTTAAGCTTTTTGTTGTTTGGGTTCTTCGATTCTTCAGCTCCCAAGAACCATGGCAAGAACCACTCGACACAAGACGCGATCTTCAGGAACAAAACGCACAGTAGCTCTCACAATGGAGCTCGGAACGACGTAACGACGGAGCTTGGTATCGAAGGAACTCGAAAGACAACTAGGCTTGTGGATTTGTGGTCAAAAGAAACGTGTATGATCGACAACAGCAGTGACACCAGTCACCGCCACCCGCTGCTGCAGCCATGTGTGCGAATGTTAACCCTGATAAGAAATCTCCGGTGCAATGACACAAAAGCAACAATATCTTGCTTGAACAGCAAAAGACAGGAACAGCGGTAGCAATACCAGCAACCATTGCCTGTGTTCATGCAGCTTCTGATTATGATTCTGGGAACACTCCGCTTGACACATCGCCGGAAGTAGTCTCTCTGCGACTGTTGTGACTCCGTCCATACCATGATCCCGAGTTTCACGGCTTCCGTTGCCGCGTCTCTGCTACTGTAGTCACTACGGTCATCACGGTCGCATCATCATTGTCAGTATCGCTGTCATCGCCTTAGCTACTCATAAATACTGACCATGATAACTCTCAACATGAGGCCGAACACCATGACATCTGTCTTTCCCAACCTTCTGACCCTTCGCCTGCGCCAATGCAGCTTCCAAGCTGCCCTCCTGAAAACATGTGGCTATTGGGGCTTCCGCATGGCACAGGCTGACTCAGCTTCCGCAAGTCAGCTGACTGGACAACTGTAGTTTCGGTACTCGCACTCGGGCACTCTGGCCGCGGCCGGAGAACGACACTTCAGCGGGGCCTCCATGGCTTTGCAGAGCGCCGCTGCAGCTTCTTGTCGGATGGCCTCGATGTTGGTCTCCTGGATTACAATCAAAATGCTTCGGCTGGGGATGATTACCTGCAGAACGAGAAACTCACGATAGTACTGCATGCAGAGACTTGTCGGTTTGGCACTGCAGGCGTCCAAGCGACCGCTCTGCATAGGTAGTAACAAAATCTCTTTGTAGTCCCCGAAGACTGAGACTGCAACGTAACCTTCCCCCCCCTTCCAAAACAAGACAAACAAACAAAAGACGCTTCTCATTGACAAGGTCCCTCAAGCAGATTTTTCTGCAGGGAGTTCGGTGGCCACGTCGAGCATCTCGGGAGGCTCTACATTGTCTCGGTGAAAAATTGGACCTCAAAGAGCTTTGCGTTTGCATGTGAACAAACATGGATATATGTATATATACATATACATATACATATGCACATATACACATATGTGCATACACAGCATACACACATGTGTTTACATGTGTACGTCAGATAGATATATATATATATACATAAAAATACATACATGTATGTATGTGTGTATATATATATATACATAAAAATACATACATGTATGTATGTATGTGTGTGTATATATATATACATATACATAAATCCAGGTATACGTATGTAGCGCATGTGTGTAATTGCGTGTGCCTGTGTCAGAATGACAGCATGAAGATGTGGCGGGCAATGGGTCAAGCCACCACAAGTCCAGTGTCTAAGACCTGGAGCTTTCGGGACAGCTTGGAACGAAGCAGAACAA